TCTCTGCCCCAGACCTGGGATTGGCAGGACTGACAAGGCTGTTTTGCCAGTCTGCCCAGGCCCCAGATCCCAGGGTGCCCCCCTGCCTGCGAATGCTCTTAGTGTGGCAGCTGTACTGTCACAGCTGTGAGGAGAAACGGAAATCTCAGAGCAGAGGGCACACTGGCAGCGTGTGAGCTGCCCGGGGCTGCAGGTGCGTTTCATTTTACCTGCACAAGGTTTTCAAAGAATGTTGAAGTACGTATCAGTATTTTAAAATCAAGAAATTTCATATATATAGCTGCTGCGTGCCTTCTCTTGTAACATCAGAAGCTCTGGCAACATTTGGTCTCTTGTCCTGTGAGGGGCCCGCTCTCCCCACTTCTCCACAGACCACACCTTCCCTATCGCCTCTACTGGCCTAGGTTATGTTGTCTTCCAGGCCCCTTCACACACAGGCCTGTAACCTCCACTAAACCCCCAAAGCACACTTCCCCACTTCTTTTCAGCTGCAGTGTGTAGGGGTCGGTGTGGTCATGGCCTCCTGCCCAGGCAGCCCTGGCCCCACACCTCTCTCCCTTCCCTGTCCTGCCACCTAGCCAGAGGGATAGGAATAAGCTCTTCCCATGAGTCATTTCACTGAATTCTCACCACACGCTGGTGAGGTCATTACCATATCTCCATTTTGCAGATAGAAAACTGAGGCTCAGGTTAAGGCAGATGGGGGCAGTGGCCTCAAGGTGTTGGAGGCTGTTTCGCTCCTCCACCCCCACCCTGTGGGGTGCAACTTGGTCTGCCCCCTCCTCTCACCCCGGAGTTGTACTAGTTCCTTGTTCCCCAGGTCTCTGGGCTTCTCCAGCTGCCCCCCCACTCTCGCCGCCCCCAGAGCCAGGTGCCTCTGTCTCCTGCCTCCCCCTCCCAGCTGGGTCCCCTTGAAGTTGGAAATAGCTGACATTAGTGACAGGGCTGGGAACATCCACAGTATCAAAGACCTTTGGACTCGAAAGGGAAGCTGGTGACATCATACCATATAGAGATGGACTTGAGCTTGGACAGGCTTGGGTTGGGTCTTGTGATCTGGTGCACAGCTTAGCTGCGTGACCTCCTAACAGTCCCCTTCCCCATCTGGAAACACGAGGTGGAGGGCAGCACTGTCCCCGTGCAGAAAGCTCTACGGGGCGGGGATCAGGTCTGGCGTGCTCAATGCCATAGCCTCAGCTTCTAAAGTCTTGGGGATTCAGTATCTATGGGGGAATCGAATGGTTACTGATTAAATAAGAAAGTGTACATGAAGCCCTTAGCGCAGTGCTCAACAGGAAATGAGCCTGTAGCAGATGCTCAATAAATATCAGCTGCTGTTGTTAGCAGGTCACAGGGGAGGCACCGGTAACTCTGGGTCATGAAATTCTGAAGGATCCCAGAACCTGAGCACCCACTGGTACCTGCTCAGGAATATCAAGGGCATCATCCAGGGGGGCCCCACGTCCGCCTTTGCCACCCCATCCTGTCTCTCTGGGCCCCTCTGGCTCCCTGGCCCAGCTGACCTTTCCCACCAGGAATGTAAAAAGGAAAAGCAGAGGAAGTCACAGCCCTTTGCAGAACCACCTAACCAGACCTAATTAATCGATAAGCCGAGCTGCCGCTTTCCTGCCAACCAGCCACCTGAAGAGTACTTACTCTATCTGTGAATTGATTACTGTACTTTCGTCACCATTATGGCTAATGTTCGCCGCCCGCAGAGGCTGGGTGCCAAGGGGAGCTGGGAGCCGCCGGGCAGAGACCACCCTGCCACCTTGCCAGGGAGATGCGGGCTCCAGGCAGCCCTGGTCTTCATGTTACAAACCGAGGCACAGAAAGGGGCGCAGAGGGGCAGAGCTGGCCCCCAGCTCACCTGGCCCCAGCTCACCAGGCCCCCAGCTCACCCAGCACCAGCCGGATGCTCTTAATTTGGATGAGGCTGAAGGACTGAAGCCCTTTCTTGCCCCTCTGGCCCTCTGGCCTCTCCTAGGTACAGTCAGGCCCACTTCTGCATCTCAGAGCCCCTCCAGTGAGAGAGACGACCTTCACCCCCTGAGGTCTAAGGGGGCACCATAGGCCCTTACTGTTCCCCTCCAGCCAGGACCCTGCAGCCTGCCCCGATATCAGCACACTGCCTGAGCCACCTTGTAAAGTGACAGGTGGGCGCTTGACCAGACTCCTGAAGAGGAGGGTACCCCTGTAGAAGCCCAAGGCAGGTCAGAAAAGGGGCCACAGCCTCCGGAAGATGTGGCGATCTGGTTCCCACCTCCAAGCTACTAAGCCTGGCAGGACTGTGGGCAGAGGGAGGGTCTTAAACCAATCAGACCACTGCATCCCGAGGGCAGGCGGAGGCCACCAAAATGACCAGAGACCCAAAGCCTGGACACAAATCTGAGAAACAGGCACAGGAGCCTGATCCCTGACCCCCAGTGTCCACAGCAGTGGCCATATATCAGGTTTCCAGAACATTCCTGATTTAGAATATCCAGTTCTGAGTGGGGAGGGGTGTGTGTATGTGTGTGTGTGGGCGTTTAGAAATCATGGCATCAAAACCACAGGCCTCTGCTTGTGCACCTGCCTCACTCCCACCTGCCGGTCTTGACCCTGACCCTACCTCATGAACCGCGCTTGCCTTTCCTTGGCCCACCTGGAATCCACACACAGTCAAAGTACAATAAAGTGCAAACACAAGCTGAAACAAAAGCCCCACGCAGCCCCTTCCCAGCCCCACTCGGCAGGTGGAGCCATTGCAGTCGCTTGGCACACAAGCTTCCAGCCTTTCCCCGGATCTGCGAGGCCTCCCTGTGCCTGACGGACAGCTCGTCATTGTCCATGCAGGACACAGAAATGATGCACCCAGGCATACTGTATGCTTTACAAAAATGGGATTATACTATACACACCACGCAGCAAATCCACTTATCAGTGATTACACACTCGGGCAGACTTCGGAGCCTGCCGTGGAACGATGCCCGGGTATATTGTCCCAGCTGGGTTCTGGGGCAGCCCTGCCGCGCTGGCCTGAGCCGTGCCCCTGCCCTGATTGCCCCAGCACCTTGGGGCTCAACTGGGGCCTTCTTCCTCCTGCCCCAGCTCTCTGACGCCTTTATTTTGATCACTGTTGATGTTATTCAACAAACAAAATAAATTTTTTTTTTAGCAAATATTATGTGTCAGGCACGTAATGGTTCTGAAAGTCCCATCAACTTTAACTCATTTAACTCTCATTACAAGCCAGTGAGAGAAGCATGATGGTTATCCCCATTCTATGGATGGGGAAACTGAGGCACAGAGTGGTCCTTGTTCAGAGTCTCACAATTAGTAATTGGCAGAGCTGGGGATTCAGTCCAGGCCATCTGGCTCGAGGGTCCATATACACACCAGAGGTTCTCGGACTTGAGTGTGCACCAGAACCCCTGGGGGGCTTGTGAAAACCCAGATTGCTGGGCCCACTCCTGGAGTTCATGATTTAGCAGGTTTGACATGGGGCCCGAAAATTTGCTTTACACGCTGCTGCTCCGAGGTTCCCAGAGATGGAACCTCCAAACCTCTCTTCTGAGTGCAGACCAGGTTGGCTCCCGGATAAAGTCCTTCCCCGGACAGATGAGCACATTATCTGAAACCACTTAATCATCCACAATCTAAACAGTTCCTGGGACTCAAAGGCTGCTTTCACCTCCTACGGAGGTCTTGTGCCTCCCCTCAACGTGTCCTTGAAACATTCTCTCCAAAGCTGCCAGTAAAGGATGAACTCGGCAAGTCTGGGTTGCCCGCACTCTGTACTTTTAAAGAAAAGTTTGGCCCTTGAATGGTTCCCTCTCCCTGATAAAAGTGTCTTTGTTTACTTGGGGCCTTGGGCCATGTCGTATCAGCTTGACCTCTGGGTCAAGGGACTAGAGACCAAGGTCAACCGCAGGGGCAGTCAGCCGTGCCTACATGATCAATTCCCAGCAAAAACCCTGGATACCAGGCTTGGGCAAGCTTCCTTGGCTGGCGCTGCTCCACCCGTGTTGTCACACATCGTTGCTGGGAGAACCAAGTGCTGTCTGCACGACTGCACCAGGAGAGGACGACGGGGCGCTCGCACTGGTGTCTCCTAGAGGCTGCCTGTGCTCCGTTTTCTGTTGCTGATTTTAATCTGTATCTTCTCATTTCCTTAAACTGTAATGGCTAGTATAATAGCTTTGCTAGGTTGTGTGAGTCCTAGCAAATCATGGAGCCTGAGGGTGGTCTTGGAGACCCCCAGACACAAGCACCCTTTCATTGAGTCAGTGGACAGTTACAGAGCACCTCCTGAGCACCCAGCTTTAGCCCAAGCGCTACCCACGAGGCCCAGCTCCACTCATCCTCTCCAGCCCTCCCAAGCCCCTGGCCAGAGGCAGCCTGGGCTCTACAGAAGACGTTTATCGTCCGCCATCCACATCCCTCCACGGAAAAACCCAGGCAATCTTGTCTGTGCAGCCCTGGCCATTACAGGAAGTCCCTTTGACATAACACCTGGAAACATCCAGGAACCAGGTAACATCCCAGGTACCAGGAAACATCCCAGGAACCAGGTAACATCCCAGGTACCAGGTAACATCCTGAGTATCAGGTAACATTCCAGGTATCAGATAACATCCCAGGAATCAGGCAATATCCTGGGAACAAGATAATGTCCCAAGTACTAAGTAACATCCTGGGTACCAGGTAACATTCCAGGAACCAGGTAACATTCCAGGAACCAGATAACATTCCAGGTAACAGGTAGCATCCCAGGTACCAGGTGACATCTCAGGAACTAGGTAACATCCCAGGAATCAAGTAACATCCCGGGTAACAGGTAACATTTCAGGAACCAGGTAACATTCCAGGTACCAGGAACCATCTCAGGTAACAGGTAGCATCCCAGGTACCAGATAACATCTCAGGAACCAAGTACCATCTCAGGTACCAGCTAACATCTCAGGAACCAGGTACCATCCTTGGTACCAGGTAACATCCCGGTGCCCCCCAGGTCTTACCTGCCGATGACCTCGATGTTGGAGATGGCATAGAAGTACTTGTACAGGTTCTCCCGCTGCACATACGTGCCGCCCAGCGCCGGGCGCAGCAGCCGCATGCGGAGGTCGGTGAAGGTAAAGAACTCCTTGAGGCCCTTGGCGCTCTCCATCCGCGTGTACAGGTTGTCCATGTTGCGCATGTCGGGGCCGGCGAAGATGGCAAAGCGGTCCCGCACCTCAAAGCGCACGTGCTTCTCCTTCTTGGAGCCTGCCCAGCGCGAGTACTCCTCGGTGCACAGCACGCGGTGGGCGCCGGAGGACGACAGGTCGCGGGCCCGGCGCGCGGGCATGCCGAAGGCCTCCATGCAGTCCTCCGCGTAGAACTGGTAGGGCTGCCACGTGCGCCCATTGTCCAGGGACTTCTCGAGGACCATGACGGTGGGCCGACCGTACTCGAAGGTCACCACCACGTCGTCCGTCAGCTCCACGCTCTTGTTCCACGAAAGGGTGATGTTGGCTTCCAGCGGGCTCGGGTAGCGGCTCCACGTGACGCTCTGCCAGTACGTGGCCAGGCCCTCCTCCTCCTTGTCAAACATGAGCCGAGGCGGGTGGGCCAGGTCCGGGTTGGAAGCGTCACACTCGTTGCTGCACAGGTAGGGGTTCTCCTGCAGGGGGAGAGGAGACGGCGAGGGTGGGCGCTGGCTGCTCTGGGGGGCCCGGCACGCCTCTGCCAAGCAGGGCCCCCAGCACGTGCCCGTGCCCAGGCCTCTGCCCTGAGGTCACAGAGCCTGTGTGTCTTCCCATGTCCCGGCACCAGGAAGCATCTCCTGGCGGGTAATTTGTACCCATTTTCCCGCAGCTCACCAAGGCATGCAGCGCTATGGGCTGCCCAAGAAAACGCACACTTATTCCTACTCTAAGTACAATCTGGAAGGGCGGGTGTCAGTCACCTGCTCCAAAGTCCCCCATGGCTCCCCCTGGCTTAGAGGATAAAATTCTGACTCTTTCATACATTGACCCCTGACCTCCTTCCACCTGGAGCCGCTGTTTGCCACCTCCTGGGACTCAGCCCACCTGAGCACACCTGTCCTCCAAGCCCCCCTTGTCCAGGCCTCTGAGCCTTTGCAATGGCATTCCCTCTCCTTGACGTGCCCTTCCACTGTCTGCCTCGAAAACCCCTACCCACATTCTTGACCCTTTCAACACGTCCTACATGAGATGCCTTCCTGACCCTTTAAACTACATCCTTGGTAGTTGCGACAGGGGTGGGGGTGGGAAAAGTCAAACTCATTGCAAATATTTGTTGAACTGCTACTCAGTGCCGGACACATTATCTCGTGTACAGAGTCATCTCACTCCTCTCCTATTTAATAGCTCACCTCCACGCTCAGAATGGGAGTGTTGTTAGCTTCGTGCCCCAGATGAAGAAGCTTGGCCCCAGAGGTGGTGCCTCTTGCCCAAGGCCCCGGCTAGGAAGACGTGGGAGCCACGCCCTGGCCTGTGGGCGCAGCATGTGACGGTCACGGCTGTCTCCAGCACAGCACGTGTCTGCCACATGCACAGTCTGGGCACACTGGAAGGACACTGAGGGTTTATGGGTTCCTCTCAAGGGGCTGCATCTTTGTGGCAAGTCATTTCCAGGTCCTTGGCATGTGCCTGGCAGGTCCAGAGGGGGACACTGGCTGAGAAACTCAAGGTGTGGTCCCCACTTGCTTACTGTCCTCCCACCCCACCTCTGGGAGGCTGGCAGCCCACTGCCAGGCCCAGTGGGTACCAGCTGCGGCTCCTCTCAAAGTCATTGCCCATGTCTGGTCTACCGTGTGAACTCACCCAGGGAGGCCTGAAAATGTCACTACCATAGTGGTTGGCCGGGATCAGAAGGAGGCATGGGTTGGGGTACAGGGGAGTTTCAGGGCAGGGAAGCGATTCTGTGACACTGTCGTGGTGGACACATGACATTGTGCATTTGTCCAACACAGAACACAGCACGACGAGTGAACCCTAATGTCAACTGTGGGCTTCAGTTAATAATAACGTATCAGTGGGTCCTCAACTGCGACAAATGTACCAGCCAATGCGAGATGTTCATAGGAGGGGAGCTGTGTATGGGGAACGGGGTATTGGGGACTTTCTATACCATCTTCTATACTTTCCTGTAAACCTAAAACTGCTCTAGAAAATAAAACCTATTAATTAAAAACAAACCTGTCACTAAGAACCGCACAGCGGCCAGACCACGTGCCACTCTTTTGATGAATATTTCAGCTCTCTCGTTTGCTCCGTGACAAACGGCTTGCATCTGAGTTAAAGCCGCTCTCTGTAAAGTGAGCCATTCAGCATCCATGGGGGCGTGGAGCGCTGCCTCTGAAGGGCAGAGGCGGCCCCCATCACTGCATGGGCCTCAGGCCATCATCACCTTTGATCCCCGTTAGAGGAGGATGAGCTCTCAGGCCCCCCAGGGTTCCTCGGTGGGCAGCCTGGCCCTGGGGTTTACTGAGCAGGTTCCACAAAGACCTCCTTGACCAAAATAGCTCTGTCCTTGCCCCCTCCACCCTCCTGTCCCCGTGCTGCCACTGTCCACGTGCTGCCACTGTCCACCCCACCTGGCCAGCCCTGCCGATTCATGGGACCTGCAAACCTCGGGATGGACGGGGTGCATTGCTGAGTCCAACCCCTCATTGAGTAGATGGGGAAACTGAGGCCCAGGGCAGGACTGGCCCAGGCCTCCTTGGGAGTGGGCGGTGTTGTGGAGGACGAGTCTGCTCCTGTCCAGGACAGCCTCGGGGGTCCTGAAACGCTGGTGTCCTCACGCGCAACACGGCAGGGACGGGGGCCCGGTTCAGCTCCTGGAGGTCTGGGCTCCCTCGGGCTCCAGCTGGGTGACCCTGGGCTGTTGCCCTGAATGGAGGCTGAGAGGCCCCACGGGAAGTGGCTCAATGGCCTACAGAGGCAATGCCTGCAGCTAGGGCTGGAGGAGGCAGTCTGCCCATGAGAGACGGCCTCCTCCCCATTATTTGGTTGGCCCACAGCGGGGAAAGGAGCTCTGAGCCCAAAGGCAGAAGGGCTCTGGTTGTGCCATTTGGGGCGGAGAGCAGGGGCAGGTGCCCGAGTTCACACCTGGACGCTGGGGGCAGGAGGATACAGTTTGCAGCCAGGTCAGCATCCTCCCCTTCTGGCCCCACACCCAGCAATTGCCTTCTTTCCTCAGCCCCAGTTCTCCCGTTTTCTACTGCCACTGGCACCTTGTCATGGGCTAAATTGTGTCTCCCTCAAAATCCATAGGTTGAAGCCCTAACCCCGGTACCTCAGAATGTGACTGTGTTTAGAGATAGAGCCTTTAAAGAGGTAATTAAATTAAAAGGAGGACCTTGGGGTGGGCCCTGATCCAATCTGACTGGTGTCCTGAGAAGAAGAGGGGATTTGGACACTTGGAGAGACACCAGGGGTGCGAGGGCTCAGAGAAAGGGCCACGTGGAGAGGCGCATGCACGTGCTCCCTGGTCGTCTGCAAGCCAAGAAGAGGCGTCAGGAGAAACCTTTGGTCTTAAAGGGTCAAACAAATCTTAATCTTGGACTTCAAGCCTCCAGAGCCTGAGAAAATTAATTTGTTATTTAAGCCTCCCAGGCCCTAGTGAACGAATACATGCTTCCTCCCAGGTGAGCCCAAGAGGCTCAGGGTGGAAGGAATGGCTCGGAGGGGCGGGGCTGCAGTGTGAGTTTTTGATGATTTCCCCAGAAGCTCTTTCCAGGACCCTCCTATATCAGCATAATTTCTCAGCATGCTGGCACCAGGTGGCATCGTGCTTCCTTGTCCCCCTGGAAAGCTCTTAGCAACACAGCACTGAAGGCCGTGCCTTTTCCCTGGCTGCCTGTCCGCTTTCACCTCTGAGCTTCCGTTCCTGCAGCCACTCTCCCTTCTTCCGGTTTTCAGAGCCCTTCTTATCCTGCACCTCTTCCAGGTAGCCCTCCTTGCCTGACTCAATCTTTGAAGCCAGTTCCCTCGTCATCCATCATGGGGTTGTTCATGTGCTTATGTGGGACAGTGTAGTAAAGCTTTCATATATGGGCAGGATTTCAGTAACTGCTCACTAAATTGTAGTTAGTATTGTCATATTAGTTTTTAATATAATAATAATTAGATTAATAGTAATAGATCTCATATTGGGTGTTGATATTATTCTCATCTATCCCCAACCGCTACGTGTCACCCACACCTCATCTTTCTCCCTTGGTCCTTCCTCACCCCCCGCCTTCCCTTCCCTCACCCTGCCCAGCCTCCTGGTGGTCCCCACTGTGGGACACGGGATCCCTCACAGCCCCCAGCTTCTCTTGGCCTGCCTGTCACCAGGAAGACTGACACAGCTGGCTCTACCAGGGGATGGGGACTCCAACCTGGCTGCCAGTCGTGCTGTCCTAACCTGCAGGGCCGCTGCCCCCCTCCCACCCCCGCCCCGCCCGGGGAAGCAGATGGTCAGAAACTAATGAATCAGCCTGTGTATTTACAGCCCGCGCCTGCTGCGGAGCAGGCTTCATCAACAGCGAGTACAATAAATAAATCCCAAGCCATTGCCAACGCAGCTCTCAGCTCTCCCTCCTGTTTCTCTTCTTCCTTCGGTGACCCGCCCCTCCAAGATCTCGCTTGGAATTCCGTTAACCGTTTAGGGGCGAGCTGGCCGTGCTGAGCCCACCTCCTCTGCAAACACCTGCTAGCTCAGCTCTCGCTTTCTCCTTTCATTCTTCCCAGGGGAAGATTCTGAGAAGGGCGCCTGGGATGAGAAGCTGGGTTTACCACCGCCCCCCCACCCCAGCGCTGCTGCGCCTGACAGCTGATGACAGCGAGTGTGAGGGGCTGGAGGGCCAGCCTTGGCCATCTTCTTGGTTTGCATGTTTCCACTCGTCTCTGTGAGATCAGATTCACAATGTAACAAATAGTCCAAAAAAGTGGCCTGATGCCAGGGAGAGCATTGGGGGTGTTTGAGGCACATCTTTAACCTGTTAGGGTGACACCAAAGCCAGCCTTTGACATTATCGAAAGCACCAACTGTTTCTTTAGACATTTCATGAATATTACAGGAAAAAAGAAATCATACCCCTGATGAAAAGCCTTGGAACTTTCTCCAGAAAAATGTAACATGCCACATTTTTCCATGCAGATTCGGGGGGGTTCATGGAACCCCATCTCCCCAGTTGATAACCCCTGTTCTGGAGCCTGGAGCAGTTAAGGAAACTGATTTGGGGGTCTGAGAGCCCTAGGTTCAATCTCAGCTCTGTCCCTTGAGGCTGTGTGGCCTTGAGAAAGTCGCTTTACCTCTCTGAGTCTTTACTTTCTCATCCAATATCTTGTGAGATAATGTGTATGAAATGCCTAGAAAATGCCCCCAATCAGTAGCAATTATTATTAAACAGCAGCTTCACATACACTAGCTCAGGCTCCTTAACAGTAAAGCCGGGAACTTCACACATGACCCGGACCGCCTTGGGGCTGCTGACGCAAAAGAGCATACGGGCGATCATGACATTCATTGAGTGCCAACCATGTGCCAGGGCTGGGCTGGGCCTTCTCCCAGCAACCCCCAGGGAGCGAGGCGCTAAGGTTATCTCCGTCTCACAGAGGGGAGCTTGCTGGCCCCCCTCACTTGCCCTGGACTCTGTGGGGCCCAACCAAG